TCACAGATGATTGTCCGATTGTCTTGTTAATGCTGTTTCACAGACAGTCGGCGCAGTCTATGGCCCTAACCTAGGTCACATTTTAGCGGCTTCAGCATTGGGTTCATAGCGTGCTTTTAAGAGTATTAGGGTTAACCCTATCAGATGCGATCTTCTGGACCCGGTTCATTGGGAGAAGAGGTAAGTTACGGGAAGGCCAGGGTGGTAGGAAGAATATATTTACTAAAGAATGAATGGAAGAATAGGCAGTAGGAAATTGACTACCAGACGAGCGCACAACCGCAAGCCAGCGGACGTCGTCTGAAGTGATGTCTGCTCGCTAGTCGTCACATGAGGCCCTGTGTTAGTCGGCCTGTGATTGGTTGTGGTGGAGGCCTGAAGCAGCAAGCGTTCCCAAAGTTCACTTCGACTTGAGCTAGTCACGACAAGCGTTCACAAGTGAAATTCATATGGAGCTAGTAACTACAAGTTTATGGTGAATGGCTCAGCGAAGTGAATGATAGCTGCTTACAGCTATTGACACAGTTAACCAGCACAGACAGAGCAAAATGTGAAAAAATGCCCCTACCGAGCAGCGCAAAATTTATTGGGTTATGGACGCTTACAATGTACTGAATCATTGAAACAATAAAAGAGAACCCCGGAAATGACCACGGCCCTGAAAAGGAATCACCTTCCTCGAGGACAACGGTATGATCTTTCATTAGGGTTTTCAGGCATTTACTCAAAAACACCTTTGAGTTTGTGGACGCTATAAAGAAAATGAACGTTGGTGGAAGGAAGACGCTCTCACTGGATGCATGGTTTTTTTTTATCAATGTACCCATTGTAGGAACTTTGGTGACGTTATTTTGGACAAGAACAACTGTATTGGTATGCCTGTGGAAAACCTTAAAGAAATACTTACGTAGTGCACACAAAAGGCATAATTTCTCTGCAATTACTGGTTTTATAGACAGATAGACTGTTTTCTTATGGTTTTACCGCTTGGACCAGTTCTTGACAAATGTTTTTATGGACAAGATCATGAAACAGAGTCCAATAGACACCACTGATGACCTCAAATTTTACGATGGATACGTGATCTCTTCTGTCTGATACACCATAATACTGAAATCGACGTTCTCTTCCAGATGTTTAACAGCGCACACTGACCGCTCAAGTTTTCTGAAGAGTCTAAGGACCAATTCCAGTAAGAAGAATCTACTCTCTAGAAAATGTTGAGGCAGAACTGCAGCCTTTGTAGAACATGCTTATTGGAAAGGCATGCCCGAAACGGTTCATCCTCAGGAATATTGACGAATGCACCTGTCAAAAGACTGCCTTTATTAGACGATGCAGCAAGCGAGCTGATAAGACGACATCAGAATACAGCCATCACAAGCGATTTCTTCACGATGACCTTGCGCGTATTCTTTACGACCTTTCCCCTCCTACGCTTGGGAGATAAAGACCGACTGCTGTTGATGGCCAATTCGATGTGCAATTACTCTTTCACCTGTCCCTGTAGATCCTAGCGAAGCTTTTCAGCTTGTCTACCGGAACCAGCAAACTTATCTGAGGATCTACGCCAACGAGTGCCAGCAAGAGCCGAAGCAGTGGCTATGTGGCCGCCCAATCCAATGTTTTGTTTTCAGAAGACGCCAATCTAAGCATTATCACTTCCGTGGATGACGCAGACATCAGATGGCCGTCACATGTCACGCTCATCCCCTGGTGAGGATTGTTCATTACACGTAAGTGACAGTAATTTTTACTCCACGTACTCGACCCACAATCAACAATCACAACCTATTGTAATTGCTCCGGCTGGCTCGAAAACGATGAGTTGTAATCATAAGACACTTAGTAACCCTATCAACTTTTAATATTTTCATTTCCATACGATTGTACCGGCCCGAAAACGAATCGCCGAAAACATAGGTACGCCAAATATACTCGTAAAGACAAACAACATTCTAGCTCGTATCTAGCGCACATATTAAAAAGGCGGTATTTTTATGTTGCTTTCTGAGGATGAATTCGGCCTTTCTGCTTGCTTTTGAGTCAATCAGGGCGCAATGCGTGGAAAGCATGAGACTCTTGGGGCAGGATACATCCAGGTCACTAAACAACTGCGGGCGTATATATGTCGTGACTGCCGAGGTTTAGCCGAGGTCGATGGTGGTCACTAGCAACCATTTGTGTCAAGGAAAGAGTGCTACGTGCGGCAAACTTAGAGCAGTTTCAGCATTGTTTTATTGGTAGACGGTGCGGTAAATTAATTATTCAATGATAATTACATTAAGTGTATACATTCAATATGTAGTGTTGGAAGAACAAAAAAGTAAAACAATTACGTGATTATTTATAATAGTGACATAGCCCGACAACCCCAGTTTCAACTCCTTAACTTAACCCTATCGCCTAAAAGTAATGCCGTAACTTAATTAACCATATTCAGCTGTAATCCTTCGCCGTAACCCAAAGCCCTGTAAATGTGACCCGGTATAAAAGGCTAACTGAAAGCTTAAACTGCCAAGGGAAGTTGAGCTGCTGAGCGTGATTTCTTTCCGGACTATGTTGTATCAAAAAAGCTACCTACTAAAATGAAATAAGTAGGCTGTCCATCAAGTAGCGACAAAATGAGGCTACACCTCCATCCGTTTTCGTATTTGCAACAATAACACGGCGACCTTAAGGAAATACTTTGCCTAAGAGAGACTTAAGTATTGATTTATTATCGATATCTGATTTTGGGGCAGTTAGTGGCAATGGCTGCTTCAGTTAAAAAAGAAGTATACCATTTTACTCTAAAGTCTGACTTTCGTATGTCTGGCCCTATGCCCATTAGTAGGCCATGGTCTGCAGTGTCAGAAGTGTGAAGGAATGAATTACACATGCTGTTTGGGAGGCCTGCAGAAAACGTGCTTGTTTTTACTCATAAACAACTCGATGGACAAACACAAACGTTTTGAAAAGTAGGCATTTGCAATGGGTGTCTTCAGGGTCTCAAAGCATCAGCTATTGACAAGACAGATCATCGGATTAGAGGTGGTATGAAAAGTGAGCGAACCTTATCCTATAAGGTGCTGAAATAAGGAGTCATTCAAAGGGCTGAGAATGCGTCCCCTAAATTCCGGGCGGGACAATATTATAGATGCTATCAGAATTAAGACATAAAGCTGTAAGGGAGGACGGTCTTCAAAAAAATCCGCCATTGCGAATTACTTTATGCGGACACCAGACGTAATTCGGACTAGTTTCTCCATAAATCGTGCAATTGAAAGGGTCCTCTTAACGATAGGGCACTATGCAAAAATGTAACGTTACATCCACTGCTCTAGGCGTCAGCCAAAGGACGTTCAATAAACATGAAGCGCATCATAAGTGCATGCGTGTACAGTTCCAATATAAAGCCTTTCTGTAACATTGATCAGCTACTCACCTTCAATTAGTAGGGTTTATTATGCAACTATGTATATCAACAAATGACGCGAGAAGTTAACGCGCAAGTTGGTTCGTCTCATCAGCTATTGGGGATCTTCAATACAGCTAAAAAATCTACCCTTCCAGCACTTGGAATCCACAACTGTATGCTGAATTATAACCCTAAGCTGACTTCCG